ATGGTCACCACACAGTAGAGGGTCAGGAAAGTTTTAAGCATGGGCTTCCTCCATTAGCACTACCCCTCCCCCTCTGAATAATGAATGATCGTTGCTCAGTTAAATGTCCATACCTCTAACAGAAGAACTCTTCTGAGTTTGAGTTTGAGTTTGAGTTTGAGCTTGAGCTTCACCCTCCCACCAGACAATTCCAGTTTACCTTCATTTTCGAAATATTTTAGCTTTGGATGGAAGAGTATAATTTTTTTTCTTAATTAACAAAGTGTATTTTCTGTTTACTGCACGAGCAAGCCAGATTCCAAGGAATTTTGAAACTTTTTATGTCTCCTGATGGACACCCATCTTAATTTTTTTTTTATTTTAGAGTGTTTTCAGAACCCTTGCTGTCTTGATTTTCATCCATGTATAGAACTTATATCTAAATTTTATTCCTGAATCATTTTTTTACAGGGTTATATTATGTTTGGGGAGACAGAGGATCTAAAAAGATTCAATGATATCTACAAAGCCATAAACAGATATCTTCGAAAAGGGTAAGGTAGTGTCTATGAAACAGAGAAAATCTCCTACAGCAGAAGGGAAAAGCTAACTTATACATAAAGCTGCATGCTGAAATTGACGGTCTATAGTAAGGTTTTTTTTTTCAAGATCCGGAACTCGGTTCTTTCAAAATCTGGGATGCGTGTTGTTAACATTTATAGGGTTAAGGTGAGCGAGATTCAAGATTTTGAGTAAAAACTGGCGAGACGATGGATTTAGGAACTCGACATGGCGGAAATTGGAAGATATCGTTTAAAGGAACCGCGAGATCCAGGAAAGGCCGGTTGCTGACAGAATTTTTAACGCGGAAAGTCAAGGTGTCATCTTCAGACATCGGAAATGCCTTGCTTTTGCAAGTCTTACGGATGCTCATTTCTCACCTAGCGGTTGTGAAGCATCAGCCCTCAAAATTTTAACGAGTATGTCCTTGAGCATTGTAGCCAGCTTGTTTGGAATGACAGGAGGGGTTAAATTCACATTCATTTGGAGTAAACTGTTACATCTATTTTTCCCCATGTTGGTTATTCCACAGTTAGCCCAAGCTCCCACAGTGAGCCTCCGTAAATGTGTAAATTTTTTTACGTTGCGTAATGGGTGAATGGCAAGGATATGTATGGGAATGAACGGTCGCACTCTTAACCTGAAAAATTCTAAACTAAGTTTGAATAATGTCCCATTGCGCAACGTAAACATACTTGCATACTTACGAAGGTTCATTGGGCGAGCTTGGGTTACCTGTAAGTAAGTAAGTAAGTAAGTAATTTATACACATAAGCACCGAAGAGTCAACAAAACTCGTTCGAACGTGTAGGTGTGGAAAAAAACATTACGAAAACCTCAGTGAAAAACTGTAACTACTTAAGATGCAATACCTGTTACATAAACGATACATCATTATATAAAAATCTACGATTTAAAAAGAGCTAAAAGTTTGACATGAACATTTAGAAAAGTCACACACTCTGAAAGCAAAAAATTAAATAGATCTGTGAAAAAATGATAATGATGATAATGATGTGATTATTCTATTGAGTATTGAGCAATAATTTTCACTCTGTTTTATTTTTCCTACAGTCGACTTAAATGTAACGAAGGTAATGGTTCGACACCCTTGTATGTGAATGTGCATATGAACTCCGGCCAAACAGCTAACCTGTGGGTAGATGCTCTGTCAGCCTCGTTTGCAGGAGTACAGGTAACCATCGTAGATTTTTTAA